CAATAGTACGTGCCCTGAGGTACGCGTCGTCCAGCTGAACTGGATACTTCTCCACCATTTCTGCCACAAGTTTCATATTTGACGTGTTCCGTGTCCAGATGACAAACTCGTAGAGCTGCACCGTCAGGTCGCTAGGGTACTTGTGCACGGCGAGACGAGTCGCAATCTTTGTCTGTCTCAGTTGCTTGGGGTTTGATCGTGTTTTTTTTTCTTTCGTCTTCGGCTTTGGAACGTTTATAATATCCACTTGTCGAGCTGGTACGTCTGAACCTGGAGGTGTCGGTGTATCGGCTTGTTCAAGCCCGACGTGTTCACCTTTATTAGGGTTCACAGAAACTTGCAAAACGAGACGTTTGAGGGGTTGCTGCTGGTTCGCGTTATCTTCCACGCTCAAAACTTCTTCTGAATCCACTGGAGAAACCTCTGCTTTCTGCGTTTGTGGTATGGGCTCACCATCGCTGCTACCATCTGTCACACCTTCCGTATTTTGTAGCGCATTCATGAGATTAGTTGTAGCCAGATCAGTAGGAGGATTTAGAAACGAGTACAGCTCAGCTTCGGCCTCATCGTCTTCGTTGTCGCCAATGTCCCTAGTGTTAGCAGTAGCAGCTTCCCTCCTGCTCAACCCAACTTCCACAGTCTCTTTTCAAGCTTTAAGCTCCTAATAGAAATCGGCACTGGACAACTCGGAGAGATGCTTGAGCAGTGGTTCTAACATCGCCTTCGCGTATGAATATTTTTCAGCTGACGTAAGCACAACTTGTTTGGCACGTTCATCCCGGCGTAGTCGAATATATACAACTTCTCTCTTATCATGTGACGGCGTGTGCGACTTCCGTTCCTCAGCTGATTGGTCACTACTGTCCGGCAACCTTATGCGCTTCGGCAACTTTAACTTTGACATGTTCACAATAGGTTGTAGGGCGTTGGCCGCAGAAGTCAGTTCATCCTTGACGTCTAGCGCTTCAAAAGTACTCCAGCTCTCATGGACTGAGATACCAGGTAGTATCTGAAATCCATGGCCCTCGCTCGCTATATGCATCAGATGACAGCATGGCAAGTGGTGGCTTGAGTAGAATAGGCATGTACATGTCCAATCCACGTCGTCGCACTCGTAAACTTTGTGTGAATAATAACTTTCCATTTCGAAACTGGTTCCTCATGCATGCAAGTTGTTCTTTCCTTCCCATTCACGAATCCCTCCCATTCATTTTTTACTTTCTCCAACATGTACGGTGAAAGCCTCCTTGCCACCGCTCGCAAGAATGAAGGCACAGTCTTCGGCAATCGAGATGATGAATGCTGCTTCTCAATTGCAGATACTATCTGACGCGTAATAATCATCTGGTGCTGGAGTAAGCCCGCCAATGTCTTGTCAATTCTTTTCTTGAGCCCGAGAAGCATCTTCAAGTATTTCCAGTTAGACTCGATCCTGTTAGTGGTCGTATTCCCAGCAGTAAAGTGTTTCCCGCGCGCGTAGTTCGACCACATAATGCGACAGGAATGCCAGTTTTTCTCGAAATAGGCGGAGAACGCGTTTTTCCTTGCAGCTCTGCAGTATTCCTTCAGCGCATCATAGCCGGATTGATACGCGTCCTGCGTTCGACTAACGCAGAGAATAGAATAGTTAGTTATTAGTGTGTAAATTCTTTTTCACAATAAACGTACCAGTAGAGCAACTTCGTCATCAAATCGAGTAAATCTTCTCTATCAGCAACCCTCAGCCGGAATTCTTTACGTTTCACCACCTTTTTCCAGTAGGTTATAGCATGAAACTAACACAATACATTTTGTGCGTTTGGAAAGGTCTGCTCGAGAACCTGCCATTCCACGAAATCTTTGTCGATCACCACGCTCGTGACGTCTTTCCATCCCGGATTCTTTTCCTTGAAATATTCCATGATCGAACTAATCGTGACTGCGTTCTCGTTCAGGCACATGAAGTCTACTACAGGGAAACCTCTGCCCGTACACGTAGTGACGACCAAACTTCCTACAAAACAAAACAATTATAATCATGTTACGGTTGTAATAAGATTTAAAGTCGCGTTAAGGGTTACCGTACAATCAATATGGTTGCTTTAGCATACTCACCCAAATGGTAGCCAATGTTGTTTGTAGAGTGAGTGAAGTTCATCGTCAAGTTTTCCCCCCACCGATCGAACATCATCTTCTGTACCTTCGTCTGCATGATCACACCACACGTGATATCCAACTGGTCTTGGATGACGAGCACGTCGCTGCCGTCCAGCTGTCGAAGAGCATGAAGCAAGTCCTTCATTCTATCTTGAGCTGAATCTTGGCCCATGATACTTCGGATAAGGTTTCTGGTTTGCTGTGGCGTCACTTTACAGCCTGTACAACGTTAGATTATCATAATATATACCGATAAGATTGAATAATAACAAAGGCGTACTAAACAAAGTTACTAACCAATGCGGTTGTTCAGGAAATTGGTGATTTGAGTCGAAGAAACACGTGCATCAGACAATGTCTTCACATCCTCAAGATCGCGATTGTCGAGTGGCAGCGTAGCTGTTGTCAAGTAACTTGAAGATTGGGTTTCGCTGTTGCAATGTGAGTGCGTATGGTTCTGAAACAGCAGAAGTTAATAGATATTAGCATTGTAATTACAAAGACATAATTATGATCATAACATTAGTGTTCAAACCTGGTTCCGAAGCACAATTTCGTAGTGGTTGCCCAAAACGCGAGAAACAGTGGCCGTTAGTCGCGCCGAGCATTTGCAGTACCGCTGCTTGCGATTGCGATGCCCCTTGGACCTTGACTTTTGGGAAACACCGTGAGTTCACCGATATATCCTATGCGAGTACTCGAATGTGACAGGTATTTGGTCCTGGTGCGTTAAAATCAAATAAAAACACAGCGGGGCTTCGTCAATACTTTTATACAGATAATAGATTATTAACACTCGTACTTGTTGTATGATTCCGTTCTTTCTGAACTCCGCACGCGAAATTTTAAATTATTCTTCTCCATGTACTCCGTGAACTGCTTTTCGAAATCACGCCACGACGAAATTGTTGTCTTTGGTGCGAACGGAGGGACTGCGTTTACAATTTTGTCCCCGTCATTGTTCATCGAGTCGATCTCTTCAAGATGTTTGCTTCTTCGAACCCTAGGCGTGTACTCGCCTAAAGACCCTGATTGACTGGCAGATCGGGACTCCTCACTCTCGCCATTATCCGAATGATCCGAACGTGGAACTATTTTCTGTTTCTTCAGCGGTCGGGACGGCAATGGCAAATGCGGGGATACGCGGCTCAGCGTGGCCTCAAACTTGTCATCTGTCAATAGCAACCATTAGCAAAATTTTACTATTCTTACAGCAACCATATAAGCCATAAAGAAACCTTACATGATCTTGCCTTTGCCGCGCCCTTCTGGTTTGTCTTGATGCCCTTCTTGTGCTGCTTAAGCGCTGCATAGCAAACAGCACACACATATTTATAAATAACAAGCAAACAACGCATAAATGATAGTATAGGCCATTACCGGTAGTAGTCAGGTCACCCTCATCGGATCCGGATCGCGAATGCCCCCCCTCTTCGTAATCTTCATCCTCGCCAGCGGAAGCGTCTTGGTCCTTGCTATCATTGCTGCTGTCGTCGTCACCTTCGATGCCTAGAGCCGTGTAGAGATCTCGTAGCTTCGTCAGTCGCTGGCGATTCTTCGCTACATACAATCATTTAACGGTCAAGCTAAACGACCAAGAAACCGGAAATACCAGCTATCTGTCGCTTACTGGGTGCGTTCGCATCTTGCGCTCGATTCATGGTCTCGTCACTTCGTCCACGTCGTATCAGAAGCTGGCGCCTGGTGCCACGTGTCACCCGGGTTCTTCCCGCTCCAACGCAATTTCTGAAATGAGAGGCTCAGAATGATCGTACTTAAAAGAAACGTACTTAAAGAGAAAATCCGTACTTAATGCGGAAGTGTTATTTTTGGATTTTTAATTCGCAGGTAATTTATGAATTTGAGTAACGCAACCATAACGGCGTTAACACGACGCTAAATGTCTCAAATTGTGGTTACGGTGCTCACTCCGGAAAGGGGGCCCCCTTTCATGGGTGATACGAGTGGTACTCGAGGATACACCCTCAAAAGGGGGCAAAATGCCCCCATTGACCACGAAAGGATAAATTAATGTCAGGTTGAATACATCATATAGATTTTAATAAAATTTAATGAAACTAGATCGTCTTCGACTTAGCTGGGAATACACTTGTATTTACGAAACAAATCGGTACCATAACTGGATATCAGAGATTCAGTCACGTGTGAAGTTGAATGTACATAGTACAGCATAAGTTTCTGTTAGTAGAGCGCTAATTCTGCAGGCTCCCAAAAATACTAGGGGACCAATGGATAACAACGACAGTTCAACAATTTTTTTTTACATGCACACAAATCCCAAACTTCATTCGAGGGGCGAACGCCGGGTGGTAGTAGAACGGATCAGATTGCAGGAACCATTATAAACCCTTTTGGCCGGGGTATAAATTGCTATTTTCCAGATCTTTCAATACATATATAAAATCTTTACTGCTGCACATTTTATCAAGCTCTCGGAGGTTGTTCACAGGCCGAACCAGCCGCAAATGAAGCGGCGAAATAGGTCAAATGGCGTAGTTTTAGAGATGTTGTAATCTAAAACAAATGTAGACTCCACTGACCTCTTCCAACCATTTTGCTAGTGTGGTGATGCTAGTGTGGTGATGCTGCGGCGAGTACAAGTAGCCCATGCTTTGAGGTAGCCTTCTATTGATCTTTGAGTGCCAATGCTTGCTTCGCAGGCTTCAATGGCACACGGTGCGATAGAATCTGTAAGGGTAAAACTGGGTCACACTGATACCTAATACGCTGATGAACGAATTCCACAAAAAATATATGTCTGTTATTAAAAGCTTGCTTCTAGCTCTTTCCTCTTGTAGATTTGATAATATTCGTTTAGGCTGCCTTCCGGGCTAGTTTATACCGTTTTAATTCGGTGGCGTTGCGTTACCAACTGAATTAGCGAACCTTTAGAAGGGACAAAGGAGTCACTCTTCTCCTTTGTCTCACGAAATGCCTACGCCGAATGCACGGCAGACGGTAAGTCTTTGCGAGTCCAAGCGGGTTAGACTTCTACATGTACACAAAGAGAAGTTCTTGATTAGTAATTCTGCTAGTCGCGACCAAAGACCGGTAACCCTTAACTGTCCGATACGGACAACCTGAAGTCAAAAAATGTTTTATACATGCTACTGTTGCTCTACGCTCAGCTTACATTTAAGGTCAGCTGAATGTTGAGCGAGACAACATCGAGCGAGTTACGCAGTGCCGAGAAATTAATCGATCGAGGTCCGTCCATTCCTAAAGGTATTCCCAGTATAAAAGGTGTGTGGTGATTCTGTAGGAATGGTGTTTGGGCAAAAAGAGTCACCGGAGATTATGAATGGACTTAAAGTGAGCCCATTCATAATCTCTGGTGACTCTTTTTTTTTTTTCAACTAGTGTGCCAGGCTTTGGAGCGACCAAAAATATAGGAGCTGCAGTTGAGTGTCCAGATGGTACCATTTTGTTTATCGACTTGATTTTGAATGTACATCAGTGACCATGCCATGGTCATACACATGTTCACCGCGGATAGCGGCTACGGAGAACGCGAGCTACCTGTAAAGATGAAAATCCCCCCAAAAAAACGGGGATGGGCAGGTTGCCTGCTGGTTGATCCGTTATTGGGAGGAAGATGAGTTAACCAACTGAGGTACTGTGTCTAACAATTGTTTTTGGTAAAATTTCGTCCTCTCACTGTTACAGCATCTGTGGTTAAGTTGTTAAGGATATATCTGAACCACCAGCTTTCCTTGCGCGTGACGCGTCTTCAGCTTTGCGTACGCATCTTGTGCTTTCTCAAACGAATAAACAGTGTCGATCACAGGCCTTGCCTTCCCACTTTCGATGTATTCGGTAATGACGCTGAGCGTCTTCGCAGAGTTTTCAACAGAGCTGACAAAACCAATAAGTTTCGCACCGAATTCAGCTTTCTTGACGGGTTCAGGCATCGGAGCCAGGGTGATAAAGCGACCCGTGTTCTTCTTCAGTACCAACTGGGCACCGTTGTTCCAAGACGAAGGCTCTACGCCAACATCGTACAAGGCATCCACCGAGTGCGGCTCCAGGACATCTTCCCATTTGTCTTCCGTATAATCGACGACTTGGTCGGTACCCAAGGACTTCACAAGCTCAACGTTTCGAGTACTCGTGGTAGCAATCACACGAGCTCCAATCACTTTAGCCAACTGGATCGCGAACATCCCCACGGCACTGCTCCCACCCAAAATGAGAACAGTCTCACCCTTCTGGAGTTTCGCAAATGTTGTCATTCCAGCATGCGCCGTAAGTGCAGCCGTGGGCACAGCTGCTGCTTCATTGAAGTCTAGATTATTAGGCTTTAAAGCCGCGAACTCTTCGTCGACGATCACGTACTCGGCGAGGCTTCCGATGGCGCTTACTGGAGTCGAGAGATAAACCGCATCGCCGATCTTGATACGTTTGACGTCGCTCCCGACCTCAACCACCTCACCGGAGGCATCAAAGCCAATACTAAATGGATCATCGACAGATGGAGCCTTTCCGAAGAATGTTTGGCCCTTAAACTCTGCCAGTTTGTAGTCGATGGGGTTCACCGCAGCGCTGTGAACCTTAATGCGGACTTGTTGAGAACCAAGAGGTAAGTGCGGCAGACAGAATTTGAGCTTGAGCTCCTTCTCGATCGGGCCGTAGTTTTCGTATTGGTACGCGCGATAGGTCTCCGGGCAGAACATTGCTGTGGAAGTGTTTGTAAGTTGGCTGAGAGCTTGAGTCAAGGTGGTGTGGTAGGACGAGGCCCAATTCAAAAGTGAGGCCAGGCATGCGTTGTTAGCTGGATGTCGCGTCATCCCGTGCTGTTGCTCCTAGATGACTCGACAAGTACGATGACAGCTTCGTTATCAGCCAATCTCCCACAAGTTTTATTCAAGCGGAGTAAACAGCCCTGATAGATGATGTTTACGCCGCCAACTGTTGATAAGGGTTGCGTTACGATTCAAACACGTGACTAAACAATAAGTATCACGACATGGTTAAAAAAAAAAAGCTCCAGCATAGGGTTGTTATTCCAGTCACGTTTCGTAGGAAAATCCAGAAGCTGCTCTGCAAGTACACGATAACCCATAGACCCTGTACCATCCAGCTCGACCGCCCAGTGGTGCATACTTGCATGCTTCATTTCAATTGGTCCCCTATAAGTCCGCCAGTTCCCTCGCCGTCAGCATTTACAGCAGGATACGGAACGCAGACCTTTCTGAATGATATCCAGTTGTGGCTTATACTTGATGTAGCCTTTCCAGAGATGGTTACTGCTCGATTTGAAGAATTGATTAAACGATGTTTGATTAGAAATCAGGTCTGCAACGAGTGTCATAGCGAGAACTGGCAGATTCATTTTGAGTTCGAAATGAGAGAATCGCCTTCTAGCGAAGGTTATCAGTATTAACAGTGAATTTTTCAATACGAAAACACACGAAATTCAAATATTATTTCCATGCGCTGAGCCCGAAGATTATGGTGCTCTTTAGCTCTTTCGATGGCTATCGCACAATCTGCTCGTACCTTTGTAACGGATCTTACAAAAGATAAGCCGGAGTTACTGTTATACCCTTGCTACATACATTCTCATAGTTTGCTATGGCGCGAGGTGTGCTCTATGTTCCTATTCTTTCCGCCAGAGACGTCGCGGGCCTGCGATGGTGTTATAGTTATATGATACCCCACAATCGCGATTATAGCGTGGCGTCAAAACCTTTTAGGTAACATGTATATGGTTCCACCATGTTGATTAAAATGCGGACATTTTAATGTTTTGCCTTCATTCTTTACGTGATATGTCAATACTATCATGTCGTTGTGGATGTGTTCGATGCCGCTGCTTGATAGTAGTCGAATTGTGTAATAATCATTTGCAATCAATAAAATTGGGGTAATAGTGATCACCCCTACGATGTCAGTACTGTATCGCAATATTTTAGATGTAGCCTCTTCACATGCCGTGTTCTTATTCTTTCTCCGCGTTCTTATTCTTCTATCCACACCTAAAACAAGTAGGCCAGCTATTACTAGAGATACAGAGGTCTCGTTTCATATTTAAATATCTCCTCTGCATATGTGGGTGAGAGAATTCGTTACAGTCGATCCTTCCTGAATTCTTGTTGGGTGCCTCGCCAAGGGAATGTATATTTTAGTGATTGTTTGTGCAAGGACTCAAACGCGAGCATTGCTCGTTCGAAAGGGGGGAGACTATGGTGTTGATTAGTGTATTCAAACCAACTACTCAAGATGGACTCAACATATCAGCAATTTCTCGCTTTAGCCCCTTTGTCATGACTGCTGCCCTAGTACACTTGACTTAGTCAACACTCAGAAACACTCGCGACCGTGGGGTGCTTGGGGTGCAAATAATATTCAAGATCGTCAATATTTCGTCTTACAACAGTGTTGCTCTATTTTCAACATAAAGTCTTTCCTCACTTCACTACGAAAGCGCTTTGTGGCAAAGACGATAGCTCTTGATTTTGAAGGCTAGCCTGGGTGAGGCTCATGATTGAGTTGATCTCAGGCTACCCCTTAGGGAGTGGTGTGGTGGGTGTCAAAATCGAACTGCACCGGTGTAAGGGCCAGGTGCGTTGGAGGTCTTGGCCGCTGCGAAGCTGGTTCTGCCCGACGTGGCAAGAAGCCGACCTACAAAAGACCGACATCAAGAGCTTCGTCTGACAAACAACTACCTACAACATAGCTGGGCTTCGCGACCTGGGGAGTCGTTGGTTTCGAAGACGTTGGAAACCACCGCGAAGCTTGCTCTAAACTTGCTCATGACTTTTGGTTGAGATGTTGCAACACACCTTCGCGAACGGGCTGAGACTTTAGAGCTTCCAGCTGAATATTCTTGAACTAGGTCTTGCAACGTGCCTTTCATCCGCTTGCAGGAAAACTTTTTTTTTCGACTCTTCTTGCTCGTCGGAAAATCTCACAGAGATCATGTCACGTAATCGAGGTTTCAATTAAACAAGTTAAACCATTTTAAAATTTAAGCTAGCATTAGGATCTCGACGAAATTTTTTTTTAAAGAAAGTGCAAAGATAGGGACAATTCTCGTGTTTTATATGTCGCGTATGCAGTATTCTAGTTGCCGTATCAATCAGAACCACCGTCACTAATAATACATTCTAGCGTAATGAGAGCTTTCTCCATCACCGTTGCAACAAAATCAAAACATGGTAGCAAATGTTGTAGTGGTGTGAAGAAATCCAGCATTTTATCCAATCGCACTACGCGCTTGGATTTTTCGTCCCACTCGAAACAGATACGACACGGGAGGACCAGTCGCTGGCCAAGCAGTCTTGATCGCAGTATCAATTTGTATTGTTCACCTTCCAGTAGGTGTGGGAAAACTTGATCCAGCGTTGTTTTCGTTACCGTCACGCTCAACGTTGCATTAGCCCAAGCAATGTTTGATCGTATATCCACTACACCCAGGTTAAGCTCCACATTGTCAAAGTAGGTGCAATACCGCCTCCATTGTTCTACCAACGCGTCTACTCCCTTCAATCCACCCAGTATTACGTCGTTCGACATAGCCGTTCGAAGAAATACTAGTTGCTGCTGCGCTTTAGCTTTAAGATGGCAGGGTGTATCCATGTTGGAAAACCAGATGCCGTGACGAAAGAGTTGGAAATACTCGGTCACAACAGCCTCCAACATCAGCTTGACGCCAAAAACCATCCGCATGTGTTGCATCTGCAACAGTGGAACCTCTTGGCGGAGTCTTTTTACTACTTTCGCGAGGTCGTGTTCGCGTTGTGTTTGTTTCCTTCGGTAGCGTTCTTGTTTAAGACGACGTTGCTCTCGATATTCAGCAGGACTCTTGGTTTGATTTTTGCGTTGGGGCTTCGGCGAATACTGTGCGATACTTCTCTTGGCGGAGCTTGGTAGTGTCTTTCTACTTTCAGGTCCAAGACCATGGCAACTGTGTGTCGCTGAACTTGGTGGAGGTATTTCTTTGTTTACACCTGCATATACGTACCCGCATACAATCCGACCTCGAGGAACCACGCATCCAATGACATCAGAACTCAATGTGTTTGATGCACGTTCCGGATCAAATTGCTCCAGGATTCTCAGTAAACGGTACATCGCTGTTCACCGAGAGATCTAGTGGTGGTGAGATAGATAGCTTGGTTTGTTGCAATTTAGTAGCAGTGACCGCAGAGTGAGTTGTTTTGAAGTGACGTACTGTATCTTCGACACATGCCTTGTGATGCGTTTTGCGTGGCGTAACCAATTGTATCAATGGGTCGTTTACGCGGTTTTGCATCTGCTCTAGTCTTAGCATGTATTATGGTACTGTTTTGCTCTTGAGATGTGGTGTCGAGCAATCGGCTGCAACTGTGTGGATATCGTGTAGAATCGCAACAGCGCTATTTGGCAGATCTCATGTTGACAGTACATGAGGCTCTTGCTTCTTAATTATCTATATAATTTACAGTAAGCTATAGTACTTAACGCTAATGTGCAGAAAACTTTTTTCGTGAATTCGGTGTCACCACCAGCACTTTTATATAATCTCATGCTTTAGCAACATAATGAGAAGAATGTGAGGTGCGCAACAGAACTCTACCAACCTTCAGTTGAACGCAACTGTTTTAGAAGGATCCGCACAAACCCTTACTGTACACGACGCTAGAGGCCCTGATTTGGGAGCGCATCTGGCTGGTCTCCATCTGGTGTGTTTTAAAAATTGTGTCATGTTTAGTCACGCTTACGGAAATCTTGGTCGCACAACTACAGAATTACATACATTTTTCCGAATAAAGTACCCCAACATTCTCTTTCGAAAAATGTATCTCGTGCTATGGTTTTCTATCGTCTATAATATTCTGTTCAATACCAAAATCAAACCAAGCGTCTTTTTTTTTTAAATACTCTCCGATTAGTTAACCACAGTTTAGAATTCACGACGCGATGCTGGAGGTCCTGAAGACACTGGCTGCGTGCTTATCACGAGCTCCAACCGTTGCAAAATCCTAAAGACGATCACGTTGCTTGAGCGTCTAAACGCTCATCAGTCTTCTCAAAGGAAAATAGATAAACAAAACGGCATTTAACATCATGTACAGGTAGAACGTTTAAACTCAAAAAAAAAAAAAAAGCTAGTAGTATTTGAAGCCGGCGTCGCTAGTGAAAGCAATCTGAGATAATGAGAAATTTCTTCAGCGCTAGTGCTACAGAGTCAAGATTTCCTAGGACATCAAGTAATGGTGTTATGAAATCCACCATTGTGTCCAATCGCACAACGCGCTTGGATACTTCATTCCACTCGAAGCAGACCCGACATGGTAGGACCAATCGCTGGGATAGCAGTTTTGATCGGAGTCTCAATTGCTCAGCTTCCAGTAGATGTGGAAATACCTTCTCCAAGGTTTTTTTCTGTGATACTCACGCTCATCGTAGAGCGAGTCCAGACGATGTTTGGCGATGAAAATTCCAGTTCACCTAGACGAAACTCCACATTGTCAAAGTAGGTGCAGTACCGCCTCCATTGCTCTATCAACGCGTCAACACCCTGGAATTTACCCACTATGACGTGACGGGATATCGCCGTTTGAAGAAACACAAGCTGCTGCTGGGACATGGCTTTAATGAAGCATGAAGTGGCTGCGTTGGAAGGCCATATACCGCGACGAAATATTTGGAAATATTCGGTCACCACAGAGCCCAACGTCAACCCGTTCTCAAAGCTCATGCGCAGTCGTCGCATCTCCAATAGTGGGACGTCTTGACGTAGCTTTTTTACTTCGGTCTTGAGGTCCTTTTCGCGCTGGGCTTGTTTCGCTCGGAAGCGTTCTTGTCTCAGACGTCGTCGTTCTCGGTATTCTTCCGAGCTCTTGATCCGGTATTTCGTGTGAAACTTCGGTGAATCTCGCTCCGTGCTCCGCATCGTGTGATCAGCACGACCACTTCTGGTTCTTGATAGAGTATTTGTATCTTCAACCTCAGAGCTTTTGTGCGTCGCTGAGTTTGCATGATGTACTGTTTTTACAGCCTCCGTGTAAATGGATTCGCTTGTTGTTGGAGCTTGAGGAACCACGCACCCGATGACATCGGAACTCAAAGTATTTGGTGAATGCTCCGGGTCATACTGCTCCAATATCTGGAGCACACGGAGCATCGCTATTCAACAATAGATTTCAGTTGAGAGCTAACTTGACTTGTTGCGATTTAGCCGCTGTGATATCTAATCGAATAGTTTCGAAGTGAGGTCGACCGTCATCTGCGACCGTTTCCTTTCGCGTTGGTCTCTCATCTTGCGGTCCTTCCTGTGGCGTAAACGATCCAATTCTGGGTAGTTTACTCGCGTATTTAGTAGAAAATTTGTGCTTGAGCTCTCCATTATTACGATCTCCTTAGTTTTTCTAACATGGCATGCAATGGTTTACATTGGACTTCGCATATAGCAGCACTGCTCTTCAGGTACAATACTTTTAGAAGCAACAGAGGTGTTAAGGCATAGGATTGACTCAGTAGAATTATTAGCTCATACTCGCTTTGATTGGGCATCACTTCAAGTGCTTGTTGCGAAGTCGCGAATCAATCATAACCATTCCGTGATCACATCAGGGGGCTGGCGTTGCCCCTGTATTTACGAGAGCAAATCTACTCCGATCTTGGACTATACAAAAAAGTCGTAAAGTACCCAGTTTTGTGGACCGGTTGTCCAGATATTCTTTGCCAAAAACGGTGTACCAAGCAAACGCATACACCGAACAAAATTGTGGATTCGTCTGGATTTGTAGGCGTCACCTTTTTGTTCTCAACCGACCAGACAGTCTCCACCTGTTCTTCTGTTTGACCGGCATTGAGCCATCGATGTGTTTGTTGGTAACTACTACTGCATATGTGTCTCAGGAAGCCGGTGATAATATAATGATTGTGTCACGTTTAATCTCGTGTTTGAACCGTGACACAATCTTTAACCATCCGATTATCACTTGCTTACATCCAGTAGTCGGCGGCGTAAACAGCTCCAAACCGATCTGTTTACTCCGATTGAGCATATCACACATATTGTGTGATCACTTCAGAGTTAAAAGGAATTAGCGCAGCGTAGATCATCACGTCAGTTTCCATTTATCCCCCTTCGTCATCACTCATTGCGAGTGACTCGAGACAACAGCAAAACACCAACACGCACAATGTACCGCATACTTAATAGCTTCAACCGACTTGAAACTTTGAGATCCGATGTGATCGGATGCGCTCTGCCTCGAGGGTCAGGTGCCAACAGCAATGTATATTCCGAAACACAATCCGGAGGACGTTTTCTGAGCTCGACGCAATCGCCAATTCTGGCGGTTCCTCCGAGACCATTAAGTAGCCAAGAAGGAGGGCAAGCAAGACCAGCCCAGGACAAATTCGAGCGTGCTGTGCGGGACAATGCAAAACACTCCTCAGAAGCTCCAGGCTCGAGGAAAAGCAATCTGGCAAAACGTCGATCTCAAAAAGCAGATTGTGATCCTGCAGAGTCTGAAGCCAAGCGCCCACGCAAAAGTACTCCATGGCGTCGAGAGCAATGCCGCGTCAGTCAGGAGCGCTACAGACAGAAGCGAATCGCGTATGTGAATCAACTAGAGTGTGCTGTAGACGAATTGCGCCACCAGGTTCCATTGCTCGAGATTCAACATGCTCGGATGTGCTACTGTCCCGGCCTGACCGTGTGGTCCGTTGTAACGGAGTATTTCCACCTCTTTGAGCGTGGTACGGACCCCATCGCATCCAGCTCACAGAGTTGGTCCCTGAATCTTCAGGCGCAACGTCAAATGGTTTTCCTGCGATCAACGATGGCGAGAGACATCGTGCTGGGTGATCGGCGAGGTATTGACGCTCTACTAGAGCAGTGGAAATGGTATTCCAAATGCTTCGAAGATGTCCACCTTCAACTGTATCGCGTAACTAAGGCATCACCGTCACTCGTTTGGGTTTCGTCGGCATTGAGAGTGACGATCACGCGCATGACATTGGAGCATGTTTTCCCGCATCTAGTGGGTGATAGTGAGAAATTGTGGCGCTTTCGGTTAAGGATTATGGGAAAAAGACTGGTTCTTCCATGCCGTCTCTGTTTCGAGTGGGACGAAGATACAAAGCGGGTTGCCCGACTGGAGACTGTGGTAGACTTCGTCACACCTTTGCTTCAACTGCTTGGTAATATTGAAAACGCGAGTTTTGTGCTAGAACGAGCTCATATCACTGTCGATAGTGCCGAAAACGGAACGAAACCTCACGAATAAGCAGAAAATATAAATAATTCTTATATGATCCAATAGTGAATACTCTTTTTTGAAAGAACGTTGTTTCTGCTTTCTTCGGTATTATGGTCAACCTGCTATCTCAAATCTTACTTTAAATCACAGAAAAAGAAGTGGTGGTATTCTGTACTCGTGTGTATTCATGTTTTGATGAAAATACGGCCTTCTATTTAGCTAACTTATTCGTTTCTGTAGAAGCCTGATTTGCGATTAGATCCCATGCATCTTTCGATGATTTTATGCAAGACCCGTTTGGGTCTGTGGTTCTGTGGTAAAGCTTGGTATTTGTTCTATTCATGTGTTCCACATGTAAATGCATGCACCGCTCGCTACTAAAAATAGGTTGATGATCTGTTATAAGCAATAATCAGTGGCCATCAGACAACAAAATACACATATACAGAATAATGTTGCCTGTTGTAACACTGCAGCATGCTTGGCTCACTGGCTTGCACGATATGTGACGAGGCAAATACAACGGGACAAATTGGACCTCAATCGACTATTAAATACGGGCAATCGGGGGACTCAAGGGCTGACTGCGAAGTTGAAGAGGTTTGATGGCAGTGAGATGATGGCGTGCAGAGCCACATTTTACATCACCCCTGTACCCGCAGGCACTGGACTTGGAGTCGCCATAGAAGCAAATCTTCAGGGCCATTTTATTTAGCGAATACATTTACTGAAAAGGCAGTGATAGTATTGATTTAAAGAGGATATATCTTGAAATTTGCGGCGAAAATGAGATCTCCCGTGGACTCTGAAATAATTTTCAGAAATATGATTACAGCCGTGAAACGTATTCTTAAATATGTTTCCCGGCTTAAGCTTTATGCGTTTGTATGGCTTCAGGAAGGAAATGGTGGGCTATCTTCTTAGAGTGTAATGGTAGATGTTTGATAAACAGATTGGTCGGGACAGGTATTAACGTCAACTTTGAATTGACAACACTGAAACTTTGCTAACACGAGAGTATTATCATTGTATCGACGTCAAGGAGCAGAGGAATGGCTGGTTGTGTATCAAGTTGTACTCCGTAGACAAACTAAACAAAAAAAAAACATGGTATCCAGTCTGTACACATACGTAGTAGTCCGTACACATAGCAGGGGACTACTTTACACTAGACCCACAATCGAGCTTGTACATTGCATATATATCTTGGCATTACGCAGAAAAAAAAATCAAGCTTGGTGGGTGATGTGTACGATTTGCATCACTAGACTTTGGCTGCAGCGAAACCGGAAGGTGCACCATGACGAAGCCAAAAATGGGCTACGAAACGAAATTATCCGCCATCTTCGAGCTCTGGCAAAGCGAGAACGACGCCATCTACATACAAAAATCAGGGGTATGCGGCTATTGCTCTGTATGGAGTATTTGTGCGGGCAGCCTCGAGAGAATCCCAACCAGGGAGGGGCAACCAGCAGCCACCGGGTACCATAGGTTCTACGGCGTTGTTAAAACGGCTCGTGACATTTCAGAAATCTTGTATTCTAAGTAATTAAAAGACTAGTCTGACTCTCTCTCTCTCTCTCTCTCTCCCTCACTATTAAGAAAGCGACTATTATCTTAACACGTACTTGGCATTTGTATGTGCGACCAAATCCCCGTGTTTATGTACGAAATCGTTAGGAGGGGAGTGAAAGCCGGCTCGCTCGGCAACACGAAGCTATGCCTGGTTTAAAATCCGTGTGCAAAGTCCGCGGACATTAACTCTGGACCAAGCATGACTAAACCCACTCGGCCCTATAGAATTAATGCGCAGCAAGGTTTGGGTTGGTTTGGCAGTGTGATAGAATTCCTGCCGACACTTCCAATTATGGGAATTTGCAGTGCAATGACATCCGTTTCTTATGTTGTAACAATATTCTCAGCTGTGTACCAAAGTCAAGGAGAAAGATCACATGTACTAGTCGGACTTTATTATTTGTGACAATCTTAATTTAACTTTTTCGCCTTCTTGGACGAAAGAATACCACGTTTGTCGTAAAATACTATGCATGGCAGTAGGACCTCATAACTTTTGGTCCTATTTCTGTCCTAATTTTCCTGTTGTTGGGGTTAACTAGCCGCGCTTCTCGCTTGGCAGACCCGGAGGGTGCGGTGGATGGGGTGGATGGGGATGGCAGGCCACCACCACCACTAAGATCATACGCAACGTCTCGGCCACCAACAAGGATGCTCTGGCCAAGCCGGACTTCGACTACACTGTCAACGATAATTAGCCTGTGTGTAGAAATAGTCTGAGTTCATAATTAGTTGGAGTCAGACTTAATAATGTTTTACCAAAATATCAACATTCAGAAATAGTCTGACTATGTCGTGTTAATAATTAGTCTTAGTTGGGCCAAGTGGGTAAGAGTGCAACCAGTTGCTCAGCGTAACATGGGTTCGAGTCACCCATTACATTTTAACTTTGAAACAATTGTTTTTTTTTTTTTTGCTGTAGTGGTTCTCGAAGTGCCGACCAAACGCAAGCAGTTATATGGCCATCATTATATTTCTGAGTGTCTGATGTTACCTCCGCTTCGGTGGTAGGGGTGACTAGACGGTAGAGGGCCCCAGCGTGTGGCACTCCCCCTTTATCTTTTGCCCTCACTCTCATTTTACTGCCTAACACGTCAATCATGCCTGCCATCAAGTCTACGGCTCCGTGTGGAGGTTGCGGCGAATCTGTTGGCTCTGTCCACCGATGCCCAACGTGATCCTGTCACATGCATCTATTTTGTGGTCGTCCCATTGGTGATGAAGGTTTTGGGCAGTCTGTGGTTTGTCCCGGATGCGAGGGTTCTGGTGGGGCCTCTTCAAATACTTCAGAGATCGTTCAAGCTACAAATACCGTTACGAACGCTATTGAATTGTTAGACAGCGACTCCGACATTAAACCCGACTCCGACGCGGACGTCGACTCTGACGTTAACACCAATTCCTCGCAGCGACAGTCTTCACAGACACACCAACCACCGCGTCACACCCAGATCGTAAGCAGTGTTGCCCATCGCCGAAAGATTGTACGCTGGATGAACAAGCACGAGGCCATCCACGGGGAGAAAGGGATGTTTTCTAAAGCTGTGGACCAATGTCCT